GGACGGGCGTCATGTGTCTGTCGAAAATGGAGATACACTATTCGTAATCCTGTATTCTGGCGTAGTGCTTGCTTGAAGGCTTGGCAGGTGAAGTAATCATAAGTTTAGTGGTTGAATCTTCGTGACATATAGCATATAAATATTAAACACGAAATCTTACACGAGTTCTATTGTCTACAGCTCTCTGGTGTGGTTGAAAACTACAAGTTTTTGCATCATATGTATGATGGGTCTTGGAGAAAAATGTGGCTTTTACGGCCAAGGATCCGCACCGATGGTGAGAACTGTTAGATATATGAATCCTCATGAATTGACTTGGAGTATGTGATTTACCTTCGTTGTTTTCTTCTCCTCCCAAAATTATTAAACTATATAGGTTTTTCATGACTGAGTTAGCCTCATAATTATTTCACATTTTGGATAGCAAATATACATTTTCTTTAGACTTGCTTATTAAGTTTTAAAATGCCATATCAACATTTAAAATACATAATGCATCTTTCTTCCAAGATGCCTGGGTGTTATGTGCTAGAAAAGCTGAGGAATTGGGTTTAGCTTTGTTGATGGATGAGAGGTCTTCGTTGTCGTTTTGGAGATTGCCAACGGTGCTCATGTGCATTTTCCCGTTTGACCATTTGTCTTCTGAGGAATATGTTTTGTACTGCCTTCTTGTTATTTGCTTTTTGGATTGAAAGGCATAGATCTAATTTTTGTTATGAGCTTCAGGTCTTTACGTTAGCAGGAATACTTATATACGTGCTGGGGTTGCAGAGTGGAAGATTACCAATCCAGTTCACCTGGTATGTTTGAGGAAATCAAAAGAGTGAGGTTATTTTGAGTTTTTTTTTTTCCTTCTTTTTGTTGATAAAAAACCAACTTTCATGAAGAAAATAATTAATAAATACAAGGGCATACAAAAAAATAAAGCCCACAAAAGGGAGCAACTCTATAGAAAGAGACTCCACTCAAGAAAAATAAGACCCAACAAGTGAAATATGAAATCTCACAAGGGACCAAACATGAAAAGACTCCCTATCAACTCTCTGAAATTTCTATTGTTCATCTCTCCTAAAAAATACCCCACAACGAAGTGCACACCCTTGCTTGCCGTAAAAAACTCCTCTTCACCCGACATGGCTGATGAAGAAGAAATTCCTCGATTATATCACAAAAAACTATGTGTTGGACAAGCCGAAGGTCAAACACACCAAAGTAGTTCTCGATTCTTCCCATTTTTTCTCTATGTTAAATTGTATCTCCTTTTCCTTTGCCCAACTTCTGCAGGTCTGCTACTTCCGTTACATCAGATTTTTTCCTTCTGGGCGGTTTCTCTACAAGGTGCCTGTTAACTGTCATCTAGTCTTTCTAAAATAGTTCATGTATGTGTTTTGTATCTAATTACTGCCATTTGCATTTTTTATCTGTTACTTCTAGAATTCTTCACAGAAGATCAAGGATGTGGCTAAGTGCATGAACTTTCGTGCTTCAAAAGCAGACTGTATTTTTGGTGGACACTATACCTTGTCAGATGATAAGGTAATCTAAATTGTGGTCTTTTTGGAGTGTTTCGTTCAACAACGTTTTTCAGATTGTAACCAGGACGGTTTCCTTGTGGTGCATTGACCCTCTCTGTAAAGTGGGGGATTCAATCCCTAGGTGGACAAAAGCCTTAAATTTCTTTTGCATTTGTAGTAATTAATTTTGTTCTAACAGTTGGTTATTACGCTTTGGCTTTCAACTAGCTATTTGTCGAAACCTGTTCTTTCTTTCCCAGTTTGTACACCAGAACTTATGATCATGTCACTGCAGGTTGAAGCTGCTGTTTTGTACCCGGGCGCACGTCCTACTGTTCTCAGAATCCGCATGAGGTCTGTTCTATAGGCTTGTCTAATTTTTTAAACTGTGTTGACCTTGTTTAGTTCGGGGTTTTGGTCACCTATACGTTAGAATGGGTCTTGCATATTGTTCCTTCGTATCAGCCAAAGAATTTGGCGCTTTTTTTAAAAAGAAAAATGAAGCAATCTAGTAATAGAACACCCTTTAATTGTGTTCCGCTTTATAAAAGAGTCTGGATGCAAGTTGACTAACGAAGCACTTGTTGTAAAGAGGATCGAATTAAACTTATTTAAAGTCATTTAAGAGCATTAATAATGAAACTTACTACAATTAGCTGAAGGTTTCTTTTGTTATCTGTTGTTCTATATAGGCTGAGAGGAACCACGACAGGGGCTAACAACCGAATGGATCTATTGACCCTCGTTACCTGCGGTATGAACAATAATGAGGTTAGTGATCCAGAAGAAGATATCCTTGGCATAGTGGAAAGGTGGCGGGATGATGAAACACACAACCCAGATGTGCCTGCAGTTTCTCATAAGCGGGGTCTGACACCTTTTATATTTGTTCCTTTTGATCAGGTAATTTCCTTTTACTTCATAGCACCGTGCCCGTTATAATTTAGAGATCTAAACACGCATTTAAAGTGAGGAAGATACCAGGATCTTGTCTTTTGAATTGCACAATAGTTCAAGTGGAATCTAGTGGGAAACACCAATGTTGGCTTGTAGTTGAACACCATTTAGATCTGAGGTTAAGGTAGAGTGGATATCTATGGAGATATTGTCTTCTTTGGGCTTTTCCTTTCGGGGTTTCTCTCGAGGTTTTTAAACTGCGTCTATTAGGAAGATGTTTCACACCCTTATAAAGAATGCGTCGTTCCCCACTTTTGAATTGCACAATAGTTCAAGTGGAATCTAGTGGGAAACACCCATGTTGGCTTGTAGTTGAACACCGGATATCTATGGAGATATTGTCTTCTTTGGGCTTTCTCTTTTGGAGTTTCTCTCAAGGTTTTTAAAACGCGTCTGCTAGGAAGATGTTTCCACACTCTTATAAAGAATGCTTCATTCCCCTCTCCAATCGATGTGAGATCTCACAATCCACCTCCCTTTGGGGCCCAACGTCCTTGCTGGCACTCGTTCCTCTCCCCAATCAATGTGGAATCTCACAATCCACCCTATTTGGGGCTCAGTGTCTTCATTGGCACTCGTTCCTTTCTCCAATCGATGTGGGATCTCACAATCCATCTCCCTTCGGGGCCGAACGTCCTTGCTGACACACTGCCCGGTGTCCACCCTCCGTTGGGGCTCAACGTCTTTGCTAGCACACCGCCCGGTGTCTGGCTCGGATACCATTTGTAACACCCCAAGCCCACCGCTAGCAGATATTGTCTTCTTTGGGCTTTTCCTTTCGAGGTTCTCCTCAAGATTTTTAAAACGCATATGCTAGTGAGAGATTTCTACAGCCTTGTAAAGAATGTTTCGTTCTCCTCTCCAACTGATGTGGGATCTCACAATCCCTCCCTCTTCGGGGTCCAGCGTCCTCGTTGGCGCTCGTTCCCCTCTCTAATTGATGTGGGATCTCACAAATTAACTTGAACTCAAAGTTAGAATGTCATGCACGACATTGAAGTTCCAACTTTTGTGTTCGGGTGGAGATGTTAATGTAAAAGCAACAGTTTTTAAACGCTATTTACCATCTTAATTTCATTAGTAAATGAAATCCACGGTATAATTGAACATTTTTTTTTTCTATAACTGTTTATATTCTATGGTCCAAAAGTTTGCTACATGGACCCTCAATTTAGAAATGTAGTCTTAGAATCTCTGTTAAACGGTTCGAAATTTTTGGTACCTCAATGTTTTTTTGAATTCTTTGGGTGACACAGGTGGAAACATCAGAACTAAACTTGCCTGTAGAGAAGATGGACTATTTTTTACCTGGCTGATGCTCCAACTTTACTGCATCTTTCTGTATATATTAGTCAGTCCAGCCTTAGAGATCATATTTATTTATTTATTTCCCGGTCATCTTACACGCTGCCTGTGTATAAATAACGAAGCACGTGAAGTTGCCCGAAAACGTGACAATTTCTTTGTTTCCTCTCTCTTGCTGTGTTGCTGAAGCTACAAAAACGATGCCTGAGTTTGTTTATGAACTGAATGGTACCTTCGATTGAAGATTGTAAATGTTTAAAATGGCTACTAGGCTTGTTGAAGAACACTTCTTGACCTAGATTTGTCCACGGCTTAACTTATCACATGGATTACTCGGTTGCCATGGAAGGACTTGCAAGATACAAAATTGAAAGTTCGCATTTTTATTAAATATACTTTAAGATCGAATCTTTTTTAAAAAATTCAAAATTTTTATGAACACATGAACACGTAAAAGAGTGTAAAGATTTAAATATAGTACAAAATTTTGTACTACAAATTTTGCTTTATTTATAAAAAAAAAAGTGAAATATTTATTTATTAATTTAGGGATGGGTATGTTTGAATTTTTTGAAAGAGTATTTTCTAAATAAATTATTAATGATTTTCTTCCAAAATTAATAACAAAAGTATTTAATTTTTTTTTTCTAGGTTTAATAATATTTTTGAGATTTTTTTTTTGGAAGTTTGAAAGTATTATTAAAATTTAAAAATTTATGTATATTTTAAAAATATAGCGTAAAATTTATAAATATTTTTATTAATTTAGTCGGGTTTTAAAAATATTATGCTATGATTATTTTTAATAATTTAGGAGATTTTTAAAATATGAATAGAAAGTAAATAACAAAATAAAAATAAATTTATAGTTATCAAGTGAAAATAAGTCTTTCCATCTTAAATCGAGTAGTTATTGATAAGGGGGAATAATTAGTTATTCGACTAATTGATTTAATTTTTAACTAATTAAGCATATTAGAGTTAATTTAGGCATAATATTATAAAAGAATAAAAAATAAAAAAGGAAAAAAAAGCGGCGCCCTCGAGACTCGAGTAACGTCGGTTCGGTTTCCCTGGTTCGATATAAAACCGAAAGTTTTCGGTCGTCTAAAAAAATAAATCGAAATAACCGAACCACTCCGGTCCATAAGAACCGATATGATTCGGGTTGGGATTTCATCGGTTTTTTGGTCAGCCATCTTCTCACGCGCTCATTGGCGCGGGAGTCTCTTGAAATACTAACGAATTGGCGCCCTTACCAGATATTCATTCTCCCTCTGCTCTTTGCTCACTTCTTGTGGTCTCTTCATCCATTTGCTGCTTCCGTTTTCCTCAACTCTCACCATCGCGCTTTACTCTCCACCCTCCCAATTAGGGCTTCGTAGTTCAGGTCTTAGCAAATGGATCAGTCTTCGCTGCAACTCATCCACGACGTTGGAACTAAATTGAGCAAACAGTCTCGCCCAACTAAGGATTTCATCGTCAAATCCCTCCGGGTAATGTTCCTACGTTGAATTTTCTGTTGTATTACGCTCTGAAATTCCTCTTTGGTTGGTGTCTGATCGCATTGCCCCCGGGTGTGTTCTTTGCTTACTGAATAAGTTGACGATGGTTTTATATTCGTGGTTAATTGTAAGTTCATGCGTGTTTTTTTACACGAAGATCGAAGGGTTTTCTAGGGGTTTGTTTAAAATTTAGGTGGGAGTTTGTCAGTGTCAGTAGCTTATTTGCTATTTTTCTCCAATTTGAAATGTTAGAAGGCGGTGCTTCTGTTCATACTTACGCAGTTATGCTAATGAAGAACATGTCTAGTTCGTTGATTTGTTTGGATTTGGACCTTCCGACACGCTCGAGATGAAGCCATAAAACTTGGGATCAACTAATAGCTCGCTTTCTCCCTCTATGGCTCTTTGCATTCACTATCGATAGGCGTTGAGCTGATGGGACAACATTTTCCATTGAATGTTAAAAAAATTACACATTAAAATTGTCGGTTCCTCGGTTGTATTTTGATTTCTAAGTAATTCCGAGTATTTCCGTGGTTTTCTTAACTCATCAGAATGAAAACAATTCACCAGTTCCTGTATTATCTCGTCAATAAAACTCCAAGTTTCCTTTTGTTTTGCGTCAATTTATGAGTCATCATGTTCCTTAGTTCAGTTCTTACAAGTTCTATCTGTCAATAAATGGGGGGTTTTCATTTCTTGACTATCTTTTCCATGTTATTTGATCTTCAAAATTTCTATTGCAGCAAGTTGTCGATGCTTTTGCATGTTTGGAACAGTCTTACGTTCCAGATGCCAGCGGGAAGTCAGAAGCACCCAAGAAAATGGAGAGTTCTATAAACCCTCTAATGAAATCTATAATTAATGGTCTTCTACGGAATAGAGATAAAGATGTGAGACTTCTATTAGCCATATGTGTTAGTGAGATTTTCCGGGTTTTGGCACCAGAACCACCTTTCGAAGATAAATATCTAAGGGTAATTCAATAATTTTGATGAAATATACACTCCCTTCGTATTATAGTGAGTGTTCATGCGCTAATTTATCTTTCTGTTTACTATCCAATTTGTTCCAATTTTTAATTCTTTTTAATTTTAATTACTATAGGATGTTTTTATACTTCTTTTGAGTTCTTTTTCGGAGCTAGCGGATACAACAAGCCCACTTTTCTCTTGGAGGGTTAAAATACTAGAGACAGTGGCACGATGCAAATGTTGTGTGATAATGCTTGACATTGGATGCAATGACCTGGTATTGGAGATGTTCAATACATTTTTCTCTGTTTTGAGGTCAGTACCCTTTATCTTGCACTTCTCTAGTATTGGGGCTTGCAGTTTCTTTTTTCAGCGTGTTCAATAAGTTTACTGATTTTCGGTTATGCCAATTTTTTTGAGTTACTCTTTTTCTTAATTCCCCCAAGTATTTTCAACCCGAGGCCTTAATTTCCTACATATCATCCTTAATGCTTTCAACTTTAATGGGTCAGTTTTGTTGTGTTTGAGATAACAAGTTGTATTGTATATTGGGGTATTTGTAGTTTATCAGAGGAAGAATTTAATTTATCCCGTACCTTTTGGAGGATTTTTATCACAGAAGAATTTTAAAAGGTTCACTTTATGCTCAGTTATAAACTAAACAAGTTTCCTTCGAGGTAGTGGATTCGTGTTGGGGAGTATTCAGTACGGTTCCCTTTCCGGCCCTCAACTGAAGTGTAATGTCTTTTTTTCTCGCTTGTTTTTTCTAATACATGCAAAGCTTGAATGAAGAAAAAGTACTACTTGTAGAAAATATGTATTTTTGGATCGCATAAGTTGTTAGTGTGTTTAGTATAATAATGTCTATTGGTTCTCAAACTTCAACTTATATATGCTTCTTTTCATACATACTGCTCTATATTTTATTTCTTTGGTTACATTCACCGTAACAACCCTATTGAATTGTTTTATATTAGTAACAGCTCTTTTTTCTGTAGAGACTATCACGAACCTAGTTTGGTTAACAACATTCTGTCAATAATGACCCATATTCTAAGCGAGGATGCCTCTCTACCGCTAGTAGATGTGGTTTTGCATAATCTTGTAAAGGAGGAAAAGGTAATTAAGTAGATTGATGTTTTTTTCTCTCTCTTTGGAGTGATTAGAAATATTCGTCATGGGGAACATTATCTATGAGACAAAATTTAAGGTAACTGTAATTATGATACTCTTTTACTTGCATAGTTTAGTTTTAGTACGATAGTTGTAGTAATCTTCTTGAATGATGGTGCATTCTGCATTGTATAATTAGCCGATTTTGCGAGATAAGAAAATTTAGGGCTATTTAATTGATAAAAAATCTAATATTTACAAAAGTAAAGTTAATTAGAACATAAGAGTTAAAAAAAAAAAAAAAAAACAGTAAGAGAAGTACACTACATAAGAACTCCTTGAGTTCAAATCGATCCTCATTATGAGAAGGGTAACAGGTAACTAGATCAGAAATGTTGACTTTAGCTGACAAGTCCAACATATAGGTGTTATTCCTAACTCTCTTCACAATTTTGAAAAGCCCAAATGACACTGCACAAATTTTTCTACATCCCCATGAATCTGTGGTCAATGAAATTTAATGATTCTTCCTCTTCTTGAGAAGAGTTGAAAATGACGGTTCTTCTCTATGGGTCTGAGTTATTAGCCTTCTGACAAATTGACTTCCAGGTGCTTGTGATTAGATCTACAGATAATAATTTCCTATCAATGAACAAACTCCTTCCTTTTGCACGTCACTACAGAGATTATATTTATTTTTTGTTTTAGGAAATTTTTGTTTCCATTATAGGTGTTCGTCATTTACTCCACATCTAATCTCCAGTGTGCTAATAATTTCCAATTTATAAACAAGCTCTCTCCTTTTGCAGGTCACTGCTGAAACATTTTATTTTTATTTTTTTAAGGAAATTTGTGTTTCTATTTTAGACCTTGATTTAATTAGTAAATGACCAATGATTACTTTTTTAAATGTGTTTGAGTGACTTCGTGTTTCCATGACAGCTCTCCTTTTCACATTTTTCAGGGTGAACCTACAGCTGCTTCTCGCCTTGCGGTTTCCATCATTGAAACTTGTGCTGAGACGCTGGAACCATTTATTTGTGGATTCTTAACGTCTTGTATTTCAGAGAGAGATGTTGTGGGGAGTGAACTCAAAGAATTTTACCATGAAATAGTTTTTAGAATTTTCCAATGTGTCCCTCAAATGCTTCTTCCTGTGATTCCAAACTTGGCTCTAGAGCTTGTGGTATGTCATCTATTAATTTGGTTGGTTCATTTTTTTTTTTCCTTTTCACTCCTGTGTTGCAACTGTGGTATATGACTAGCAAATGGTTTTATACAATGTAACTAAGTTAACAAAAGGCAGAAGAAGATCAAATGAATGACCATAAAAATCTCCAGTTGGTCTGATATGAGATGAGTAGTTATAATGAAATGCCTTTGATTTTAGACTCCAAGAAGTAAAGACAACATCCCAGAACTAGTCTAGGCTTTCCTTATTTAGCTCTCTTCCTTTACGTTCAAATTTCACAAAACTGACTCAAAGCTTTTTCTTCTGATCCTTGAAGATGTGCCCACAAAATTACTGCACCACGAAATCTTTGATCAATTTTGGACGTCTTCAGATTTATTATTATTATATTTTGTGCGTGTTCAAAGGCAACAACAATTTTTGCTTCTTGTTAAAAAAAAAAAAAAAAAAAAAANTTTTTTTCTTTTTAAAAAAAAAAAAAAAAAAAAAAAGTCCATTAGAGAACCTTACACTCTTAGGAATTTTCTTTTATCATCAAAGCTATTAGCAGAAAGCTGATTGAATACTAAGAACTCTTTTTGGCCGGATGATTGGATAGAGATTTAACAGAAAATTTGTCACTCCTTTCAACCACCTTTTCTCATGCTCCCCAAAGTTTGCCTTCAACAATCTACACTGCACCCACTGGTCTCTAATAGTCACTCCTACACAATTTCCAGATGCTTAATTTGTTTGTTTCCTCATTTTATCTCTATCCTTTGTAGACAGATCAGGTTGATGTAAGAATAAAAGCAGTTAAAATCATCGGTAGACTTTTAGCTCTACCTGGACACTGTGTAGCACAGAAGTACCGAGGACTTTTTATGGAGTTCTTGAAAAGATTTTGTGACAAGTCTGCAGAAGTTAGAATTCATGCCATCCAATGTGCTAAAGATTGTTATACGGCCAATCCTGCTAGTTCAGAATCTCTCGAAGTTCTTGGTCAGTGGTTAAGTAGTTATGATGTTTTTGGATTCTTAATCCATTATGTATAGTATATCTGATTAGTTGGACTCATGAACTCAGCTGCAGTTGAAGAACGATTACTAGACTTGGATGATAGAGTGAGAACACAAGCAATAATTGTTGTTTGTGATATTGCCCGATCAACTAGCAAATTTGTTCCAGTGACACTAATATCTCAAGTTGCTGAAAGACTACGAGATAAGAGGGTATGGTATTTTATTGTATGTGGTTTCTGTTTGCACTAGCAATCAAAACTCACCTATTATTTGATTTACTTTATTTGTAGATATCAGTTAGGAAAAAAGCCCTTCAGAAATTGTTGGAAGTATATCGAGATTACTGTGATAAATGTTCCAAAGACCAATTGACTATGAAGAATGACTTTGAACAGATCCCATGTAAAGTCTTGATGCTTTGCTATGATAAAGATTGTAAGGAGTTCAGGTTGGCTTATCATCTCTTGGATTGAAATTATTTACATTATCTTTATATATAATAATTATTACCACATTTTAGATCCCAGTGCATGGAACTTGTTCTTGTGGAAGATTTGTTCCCAGCTGATCTCTCTGTTGAGGAAAGAACTAGGCACTGGATCCATTTATTCTCTCTTTTCAATATCCATCATGAAAAGGCTCTTGGATACATTTTGCTGCAAAAACAGAGGTATTATCACTAGCATGGTTTTCATAGTCAGATTAATTAAAAGGTTTTACATTTTTCTTTTATTATTTTCTTTTATAGGTTACAAAATGAGTTGCGAACATATTTGGGTCTACGTAAAAAAGACAAGGTATGTTGCCTAGCTTCTCTTCCAATTTCTGTTGTTTGATAAATTGTTTGCTGGATTATAGATTCATTTGTTCATGATACTGATCACATTGTGAAGATGTAATCCACTTATGTTTTATTTATTTTGTACATATAATATAAAAACACTAGAACTGATATTGAGTCTTCCAAATGCATCTCAAGTCATCGGAGTGTGAAATTCTTGTGCAAAATGCATTTTAGAAGTGGACACATTGTTTAACCTTGCGAAGTTGTGATTTGCTCCCTTTCCCTTAAAAAGGGGTAAAAGAAACTCAACTCAATATTTCGTCCAAAGTGGTTCTGTGAGGCATGCGCTCTATTGCTAACCATAGAATTGAAGTCCCATACTTGCTTTTTCCTTTTTGCCAAAGGTAAAATTCATAACATGGTTTATTGTCACAGTCGAATTATGATTAAGAGAAAAAAAACTTCTTAACAAGTCAGATGTCTGCTTTCTGAACATACGATTTGATGGTTTTCTTTTTCCTAGTAACATTTTGTTGTCTTGTTGCTACAGGAGAACCGATCAGAAGAAACAGAAAAGCAAATTGAAACTGCATTTGTCAAAATGGCAGCCTGCTTTCCCGATGCTACAAAAGCAAAGGAGTCCTTTCATAAATTAAATCAAATTAAAGATAATAATATTTTTAATTATTTGGAACTTCTACTTGATCAATCGACAATTGTTGAAGCTGAGGCTACCAGAGTGCGTAGTTTACCTTTCTTTTTCTTTTCTTTTTGTAGCTTATTTTTTGGCTGATATTTTAGTTTAATTATATGTTGTTTCAAGTTTTTTGCTGCTGTCTTTCTATTATTTGGTTTGGAATAGTTCTTTACCTTGATAGAAGGCCCTCACGTGGTTTAAGGTTGTAAAAATCTTTAACATTCATTACGCTATGCAGGATTAGATTATAATAATGGTTTGCTATTGAGACCTTCAATTACTATTTTGTTTGGTAGATTCTTAAACTTTAGGAAGTGGTACTTATTAGATCTGAATGGAGGTCTGGAGATCTATGAAATTGATTTATACTGAAATAAGTTCATGAAAATTTTGAAAAAAGTGGGTTGTCCCACTTTTAGTAAATTTATAAATATTTTTATGAATATGTATTTTAGTTTTTTTATAAATTATTATTTTTCTTGCAAGTCAGATAAGGAATAAAAATGGAGGTAAATGTCCATCACATGTTTTTCATTACCAATTGTGTTTCTCTTGAAATTCAATATAGAAGAGAAACTATCAATACATTTAATTTATAGGTTGACTTGTTGATATATAAGATTATAAGATAGGTTTATTAATTCAGTATCTCCCTTATTGCTAATTGTTTGTCTCAATTACACAATTAGCAATACTTAAATTCAAATCAATTTATGTCCTAGTAATATATTTACTCAATGGATTAACTTATTGCTTTAGTACATGATATAGTTATAACCTATTACTTTATTGCATGATGGAGTTTGCATCAAGTCGTATCAAACTCACTTTTCTGGGTTCACTGATTGTCGACAGGTTGAGTGGCTCTTATGTTTTCTTTGGCAATGAGCATTAATGACCTTGATTTTGTTTTATTTATAGGTTCCACTTGTTCTTTTTGTGGACTTGTATGATCTCATTAGAACCGTTGAACTAAAAATCATATTCATTAGGAGATGGGAAAAGAAAAGGTTTGACTTTGACTGTTTATATATGATATGTATATTTGACGGATGAGCCCTTGACTAGTTTACTCTCTGTGGGATTTTTACACGAATGGTTGATGTATGTCATCTTGCATGGATTAATAGATTTTAACTTTTTTTAATTATTTTTTTTCAGGAAAAATTGTTGAGGATGATAGGAAGTAAACAGCCCCATTTCGAGTTTTTGAAATCACTCTCCTTAAAGTGCTCATATAATTTATTCAGCACCGAACATGTACACTTTGCATTAGGCTGCATTCTGAGCAACAGAGTCGGAAACAAACATTTGGAGAGTCCGACTGGCAAGCTTCTACTGGTAAGTAAAATTGCAACATGTTGTTGATTCTAGGCTGATGCGGCCTTATTTAAATAACATTGGTTATGTAACTTATTTACTCTCATTTCTTTTAAATAATGATTTTTAGTAATTTCAGACCAAAATTATTATTTGTAGTTGGAATATTATGCATTATCACCACTAAACATAAATGCTTAAGCTGATAGGCTAGGGTGTATTATATCTTATAATATATTCTTAACTATACAATTACCATAAACTCTAGGATTCACAACAATGCTTTAACTTCATTATGAAGTTGAAACAAAATGTGTGGTTAGAAATTGTTCGGAACTTTGTCAAGATTTTATTGGACGAATTGTAGAAGTTTGTATAAAAGAACTAATAGATGACAAGGAGATTTTGGAGAAGGCAGGTTACTTAGCTTCTGGGTGGAGTTTTTTTTTCTTTGTATTTTATTTTTGTTTAAACTTTGTTATCATTATCCTATTTTGATTAGTGATAGTTGTGCTAGCTGAAACAAAAATATCTATAAAACTAGTCAAACCATGTCGATTATGTCTTATGAAGTATAAAACTAAAAAATAGTTGGTGAGTTTTGGCAAACAACTGACAGACCTGAACTAATTGCTTACACATTTGAGTTCGTGATAGTTGGAGAGCCCTGTATTCTCTCTAGAAAATTTGAGTTGATAGGATGCCTTATTTCTTTCTTTGTTAAGTTTTTTTATTTTTTTTTTATTTTTATTTTTATTTTTTTTTTTTTTTTGCACTAAGAAAAGTTCTCAAAGCTTTCAAGGAATTTTAGTTATGAGGAAAAAAAATCACTGCTTTACACGCTATAGCTGTGGACCTCAGTACTTAGTCAGCACGGCCATTTGTTCTCAGGCTATCATCAGCATTTTCCCCTCACTCCTCAGAGGCTTGGAAGGCCAACTGCTGAGGTTGTTGGAAGAAAGCAATCCAATTGATTGTAAGCTGATCGAAATATTGTCTAAAGCTGGCCCTCACTTATCAATTGAACTCAGGTAATCGCCATTAGCAGCTCATGTATGCATTCATTAAACATCATTTTACTTTTCAAGATGTCAACAAATGGAAACTTCGAAGTTATAATGTTGGGCAGTGTTTTTGTTAATGTGAGTTGATTGTGCCTGTTCTTTAATGTGTACTTTGCAGGTTGAATTTTAAATCTTTTCCTGTCTTGTATTCTCTCAATGAAAATTTGGTCAATTAAAAACAACCTTCTACAGCTTTTAGCTAATTATTGCAGACTCTGGATTCTCTTTCTGCTTTAATGAACATTAAGTAATTGTTTCTTATAAACAATAAATGAATTAATGAACATTAAGTGATGTTGAGAAGGCATAGATGCCTTGCTTTACATAAGTATCTCATTCATGGAGAAACTACACTTTTACTTTGAATTTTGGGGTAGAATTTTAGGATAACGAATTTTATATCTTGATCTTCCTATTAAAAGAGGTAGACAATTGATATAGGACATATTCTTGAATTTTTTTTTTTTTTTTTTTTTGGGATAAGAAACAATTACATAGATAAAATTAAATTGTACAAAAAAGGTGAAAACCGCCTCCAAAGGAAGTTCCGATAAATTTCTTCAATTAGGTAAAAGTGTTCAATCAATACTAGCAAAAGGGGGAGATGTTTTTGCACCATTATAAGATGTATGCTTGAATAATGTTTATACTATAGAAATCTTCCTCTTGAATAATGTTTATACTATAGAAATCTTCCTCTTGAATAATGTTTATACTATAGAAATCTTCCTCTTGAATAATGTTTTTGAAAGACTTATTGGTTGATAATTGATATAAAAAATGTCTTGTAACTTTTTCCTCTTTTCTTGTTGGTATCCATGTTTGAAGTCTTTGGTAGCTAGCTGTATGCTTAGGATAATGTTTTCCAGTGTTCTGGTGTTAGTTGGATGCAGAGTCTTTAGATGTGCAATATGAGTGCTATGGTGCACATGACGAAATCTTCTGGACAGTTGTGGATGGAGAGTATCCTAAAATTTCTTGTTTCTTTCTGTTTCTCTTCCTCTAATAGAGATGTATACCCGTTTCTGGAGAGGTTATGCTTGGAGGGTACTTGTGCTGAATCAAAAAGAGCTGTTTCTGCCATTGCAGCTTTAGCTAGTACTTCTGGGCATTTTTGGTTCTCTAAATTATGTAAGGTACGCACAAATATCTTTTGGAGGTATTGCTATTCATATATTCTTTTAGTTATAGGTTAGTGACATTCAGAAGAATAGCTTATGGAACCCTTCTTCTTCTTCTACATTTTTTCTTCCAGGAACTGGTTGATTCTCTACACAGGGGATTGAATCTCCCAACAGTACTGCAGTCTTTAGGTTGTATTGCAAAATATTCTGTTTCAACATTTGATGATCAGGATGTAGGGATCATACCTTATATATATGAGAACATCTTCCACGTAATTCTTTTGAACTTCCTTTTTTAAGTTCATTTTTCTATAATGATTATATACATATCTGATCTTCAATGCCAGTGCCATCTCGTTTTGTTGATTTTTTTGCTTCCATGAGTTTTCTTTTTACCAATATGTTAACCTTATATATGAAGGTGGACTTATCAGATAATTTAAATAAATTGCACGATGATGCTGCAGGCAGCAATTCTTCCGATTTGAAGGTAAACATATGGCGACTTGGGTTTCATTTATTTTTCAGTTTACAGAGTTGCGATTTTCATCTGTTTTGAACCTCAATATTAGATGGGCATTGGAGGATGTTCGTATGAGGAGATAACATGTCATTTACTTGGGTAGTTTTTTCTTTTCTTATTATTATTTTTCAGGAAAGTAATCCTTTTTTTTTTTTTGGCTTCTTTAAAAAAGTAAGCACTGCAGAATGGAGGGGAAGATAAGATATAAACACTTTAGTTTGAAGGCAAGTGGGTATTATAAAAAGTTTCTCCAAATACCCCGTAACAAAAGAATGGAATAGTTAAAAAAATTTGAAAAGCACCATAAGGAATCCAAAAAAGAAGCTATTCCCAGATTCCATCACGGTGACCTCCTTATTTGTTTTATCTTCAACATTCTACCGTTTCTTTCAACACTGCCCATAAAATGGCTTTGATGTCATTCACGTTGAAGAAATAAGTTCAAAAGGAAAGAGACAAATACTTCGAAGAAAAAAACTTCTATTGAGAAAGTACAAAGATGTCTATTACTTATTAAAATAATAAAAAAAAAAAACGATGATGGTCATTTTTAAGCGAAGTCTCTCTCTCTCTCTCAATCCCTCACTTCACTCACTTTTCTCACTTATTATAGCTTCGTTCCCTCTCTTTATATGTGGGCACACACCTCCTACTTATAGGCAAGAGATACTTATGGCTTGAAGGAAAGAGATTTTTCTTGGGCCCTTCATGAATATAAAATATCCGTGGTGATATTTCTTTGAAATCTATCCTAACTGAAATAAATTATTTTTTATTTCTTGGAGCCAAATGAAAGACTAAGAAATTTATTTACAATCTCTAAGATAAATTTAGAGTACATATATTTATGTCATTTACGTAGATACTCCAAGATACTTCTTAGTGTTGTATTTTATTTTAACAATTGAACTATAGAACTCTGATCTTCCGTTTGAAAATATGACCGCATATCAATTGTTGGATATTACCTGCTGACCAAACACCTTCAGTGATTTCAGGTCGCAATCCTTAGTCACCTCACTCCGAAGAAAAAGAAGTTGCAGGTTCACTTTTTGTCCAGCGAAGTTGATGAAAAGAACTAATGCTGACTTTCTTTTTGGAATAACCTCCATAGTATAGATATTGCTAAAAGACCTCATAAATACCAAGAACTTCAATTTTAGGGCATTTTATCCTCAAAATGCAGAGATAAAAGCCTTGTCCACATCAATTAACGAATAGACATTGAAGGAAAGCGTAAAAGTTTGGTCGAGAAGAGTGAAGACACTTGACATCCAACTAACATCTTCTATCTTCTGTGAGGCTGGCATTCAAGATTATAGAAAGGCCAAACCCTGAAACTGTAGATTGTCACAAGAAAGGGAATTACTCTTGGACTATGGGGAAGCATTCTAAAGTAGCCTTCATTGTCCTTCAACTCTCGAGCTGTTAAACCAGCCATCCACCTCGGAAATCAATCAATTCAGGACATTACTGGAGAATCCCTCACGTTAGACTAGGAGAAATGACGGTTGGACATGGGAAGTTCAATCAAATTATGATCTTCAATCATCTTATTTACTCTCATCATGCTTCTAGAAAATGTACTATTAAAGGATTTCGAGGGATCTCTCAATGACATCGAACCATAAAGAGAATTTCTATCAATGGCGAACTTCTTTCTGAAGGATGGAAAAAAAAACTAAGCCATATTAATTCATTCAATATCTCAGAGAAAATCGTTTCTTGCCATTTTAAATTGAGTTTTTTATGGTGAAAGATCTACTTGTTAGGCATTGAATTCATGTAACGGGAGATACACTGTATTCTTGCATCATTAGAAGCCACTAGTCTGGTGGCCTATGGATGATTTTTTTTCGTGTTGAAGTGTTATTAATTTATTTGTGTGAATGTTTGATTAATCCACCACACCTAAATGGTGTGAAAGTTATCTTATTAATAATCAAATGAATTACAAGGATATGGAAATAGTAATAAATGAAAATAACAATAAATGGAAAGATACCTATGATAATAAAACAAATATTAGATATTTGCCTTATAATAAAATATCAAATATAATATATATGGTAAACTATAATTTATTACTAAATATCCTTAACACCCCACCGCAAGCTAAGCGTCGGATTTAAACGAACGTGAAGCTTGAATCTGAAAAATTCAAAGAGGTTGAGAAACACTTTTCATGAAGATGCTAACAACCCGGTTCTTGGCCATCAAAAATTGCAGAGGGATCCCCGCTCAGCGGCGATGCTGCCTTGACTTCGGCGAGAATATGTCTAACCCATGAAGAGGGATTGTCGCTTAGCGACGATGCTGCCTTGGCTCTGGTGAGAATATTTCTAACCCCAAGAAGTAGAAGGGGAAACCTAGAGCAAGGGACAAAGACAATGTTGAAGCCGAAGAGTCGCCACATTGGGCGAAGGAGCCAATTTTGGCGAGAAGGGCAGTCGGAAGAGTCGCCTCATCGGGCGAAGAAGCCAATTTTGGCAGGAAGGGCGGCGTCAACTTGGTTGGCGAATAGGCCAGTGCGGCACCCAGATTCCGAAGGTAAATCTCTGCAAAAGATTGATAGGTTTAGGTTAAGGTTTATGTGAAGGATGAAGGTTGATTGGGAAGAAAATGAGAGAGACTATATTGGCCAAGGGAAAAAACGATTGGGTTGGAAAAGGTGAGGTTGTATGTACAGAGTATGACGAAAGGTGATTTGGAGGTCAATAGGGTGGAGCCGAAGAGTAGTCAATTGGCTCCGCCTACAGCAGCCATGAAGACTGCTCCTGCAGCGTCAAAGCCAGCAGGGGTGGTGGAGAAGAAGATTAGAGGATTCAAAAGCCATTGAAAAGAAAGGATTGGGTTGTTAAACCGAGAGGGCTCTGATACCATGTTAATGTTTGATTAATCCACCACACCTAAATGGTGTGAAAGTTATCTTATTAATAATCAAATGAATTACAAGGATATGGAAATAGTAATAAATGAAAATAACAATAAATGGAAAGATACCTATGATAATAAAACAAATATTAGATATTTGCCTTATAATAAAATATCAAATATAATATATATGGTAAACTATAATTTATTACTAAATATCCTTAACAATTTGTTTGCAGATTTATGGGCTGAAAACACTCGTTAAGAGTTTCTTGCCACATCAAGGAACTCCTAAAAGAAATCTTGGCGAGTTTCTGAATATTCTATCACGGATGCTGAACAAGTGTGAAGCTTCTGTTGAAATCATTCCTATGTACGTATTGAAGTGCATTGATGGACAAAACTTGTTTTTAGAAACTTTTCCTTATCACACAAGATTGCTAAAGATTATGAGTTGTTCCTTGTCTTGCAAGTTCTACACACCTATAATCTTAAGCTTGAAGCTGCAATTTTGTCATCCATCTGAAGATTACATGATTTATTGTTATCAAATTAAATTTTTTCTTGACTATTGCAATTTCCCTAGTTGTTGAAATCTTTTCTAAACATGCACTTTTTTTTGGCGCTCCTACTTTCAACAGATTACACTTGTCTTTTACTCTCTCAGTCAAGATTGATATTTTTTTACTTCCACTAAGCTTGATTGTAACCTTAGTCGCCAATAAAACTATATTAGGGCATTATTTGCTTCCGCCAAGCTTTAAAATCCTGGAGATTTTATGATACAGTGAGGACAATCAGGCTCGGATCAGACTAGCTGCTGCAAAATCAGTTCTTCGTCTTGCCAAAAGATGGGATTCACAAATTACACCAGAGATTTTCCATTTGACAATCTTGATGGCAAAGGTACATTTGTTTTGGTTTTGCTCATAAATCTGCATACAGACAGATGAACATGAATTGTAAGAAAACTGAGGCGATGTGAATCCTTAATTAATTGAACAAAAGACATGACTAATTATGACTGGTGCATGAGAGACCCTAGATTGAAAAAACAGTCTGTTATTCCATTTAACAAGTGTTGATGGCAGTTCATGCTAATGTTTTTATTAAGTTTAATGCTCATGATTGCAATTTATTTTTTTACCCTAGGATTTAACGTTCCTCATTCAGTAATTTTGTTCGAAGTGTTACTCTAATGCTCCAAAAACTGCCCAGAAATTGCCATGAACGAAACTTCAGGAATTGGTCCTGTCCTTGCTTTGTAAAAGAAATAAAAGTAAGCCTATTAAGTAAAGGCAAATGGCTGTCTTTTAGTTCTCATGAGACATCAATTTGTTGGGCGTAATCCATACTATGATTGCCAGATTTATGGAGAATTTATTACTGTATTGATAAGACAACAAGAAATTTTTAATTTTAGATAGTGTTCTGGAGTGGTATGTCGATGTGTGAGATCTAATGAAATGAACAAGTGAATGGATTGAAAATTAAGGTGGACAATTATAAAACAATTGAAACAACTGGTCTTGTGATTAGGCGGTTCATGAGTCTACCATCCAAAGTGGTGGGATTTTCCAATTCTGAGAAACTATACTAGAGGTTCTTGTGCATGGTGAGTACATTTCAGTACGTATGAAAGAGTTGTTTTTGTATACATATTTATATTAATGGAAATTTTTTTAATTCAAAATATGAATAGATAATGTTCTTTAAGAACTAGCACCAATCAAGGAAATTTTATTTGATTTTCTTTATCGAGTTTTATTAAAATGTGTATATAGTAGACGCCATTCAGTTTAACCTGCTTCATCTTCATCTATTTTTCTTGACATCAATTTTTTTTTCTTTGGCATTTACTCCTTGATTGCTATTTCTAGTTAATCTGATGTATATTAGTCTTCAAGCAACCCCTTTATGACCAGTTGGTACTTATTTTCTGTTACATTCCAGGACCCCTCTTCTTTTGTTAGAAGGCTATTCATTGACAAAGCGCACAAGTTACTAAAGGAGCAGGCTATACCTACCCGATATGCTTGTGCTTTTGCATTTTGCATTTCGGATAGCATGAAAGATCTTCAGGATGATGTATGCCTATCTTTATCAGTTATGCAGTAATATTATTGTGCTTAGATACTTTTGTCCTTTGGTCTAATGATTTACTTTCTGATGATACTCTTCATTTCATTTCAGTCACTTAAATATATGGCAGAATTTATTGAGCAATACAATAAGATAGCACGGATGCATCAAACATCTGTGGTTCAAGAAGAATCAATGACTTTTGTCCCTGCGTATATAGTAGTATTCTTGATATATATTCTAGCTCATGATTCAGACTTCCCACATGTAGACTGTCAAGATGAAAATGTATATGCTCAATTTTGTAGGTAAGTGTGCCTTTGGTTTGAATCTGGTTTAAATTTTTCCTGTCCTTGATATCAATTGGTGCCTCTGCTTGAAACATGCTCTTTTTTGCAGCCCACTCCTATTTGTGTTGCAGATGTTGGTCAATGCAGATGTAAATGGTTCCAAGGAGACTGTTTTGTATCTGCACAGTATTTTTCGTGCCATTAAGAGGGTTGAGGATGCTGTGGATATGGATTCATCACATGTGAGAGTTTGTAGAAATGATTTTATTATTCCCACTGGCCTTTGTTATCACACAGTTTTATTAACTGAAAGGGTTTTTCTTTTTATTCTTTCCTCTTTTCTTTTTGTATATATTTCAGAAATTGCACATCTTGGCGGACATTGGACTCTCTTTTGTAACAGCTCTAAATTCTTCTGGAGTTTCCCTGTCATGTGCCCCAAAGCAGATTTTGTTGCCGTTATCTCTATATAGAGTAAGTTTTCCAAAGAATTGATTTAGTGTGTGCTTGAGGAATCCGATCACAAATGGATGTATAACATATGATAGTTTCCCTTTTTCTTGCAGGTAAATTCCAGGAAGCTTTCTCGACATGCTTATGATGAATGTTTTGTTGGAAGAGTTATTAAAGCATTTCAATCTCAAATCATTTTGGTATGTCTCTTAAGTGATTCTTTAATCTTTACTTATCATTTTATGAGTTCCATATGATTTGTGATTTGTCCTTTTGTTGCATGAATTATGTTTTTGCCCATGAAAGCCCGTTAATACTTCTATAAGAGGTGATCAAAAGTTCTTGGAGGAGGATATCATGCAAACCAATATCAACCCGTGTTCCTCAATGAGCATGAGAGCTTGTAAGCAAGTTGAAACCATTTCCTCCAGAGCAACGAAGATCAATAAAACTGTGAATCAGGAGATTATTGTTGGACGTAGACGAAAACGGGCAGCCTCTCCAACAATGTCTGCACCAATTGAATTGCGTGAATGTTCTCAAGCTCAACAAAATTTCCCAGCAAATAGGGAAAAAGGTAAATTTTCTTCTCAATGTGGAACTACAGAAGCTTCTCTGGTTGAAGGCGACGCATCAATCCAGAATGTAGATGTAAATGTAACTTCTCAAGACGATGTGTTGGCAAAGAGAAGTTTGGATGATGCATCCCCAATGTACGTCAACGACCAGCTTACTGATCCTTACAGTATGAAGGTTGAAATTATTCTTAAGATTTATTTTGTTTATCTCTGAGTAATATATCAAGTTATGCAGGCAAATTTTTATGAAATGGTATGGTTAATCAACTAATCAAAGGGCTTAACTTACTGTTCTTTTTTTGAAAAAAAAAAAACAGAACTTTTGTTTTGGGCATGGTTGATTTGTTACGACTTTTCAAAATTCCACGCAACAGTTTTTGCTGCAGTCTTCAATCAACGTGCTTTGTGATGATTGTTAATTAATGAAAACATGTTGACTGCTTTGAGTTTTGCTTCCAGGTTGTATGTTTATTGATTTATTTTGTATTTATGGGCAAATGTGGCAGGTCGCAGATATCAGTGGGAATGTTGAACTTCTAAGCTCGGAAACTGAGAGTTAGGATACTATATCACATGGTTTCCTGGTGGAAAGGGTGAGAGCAATTATTATTATTTGCGGTACGTACGTTCTATAATTTAGATGAATTTTACTTCTGGTGTTTATGAAAGACCTTTCCAATTTGCAACGAGGGAGGTATAACTATAGGAAGTAAAAATATTAGACAGTTTGCATCAAGATAGCTTGGTAAACAACATTGTCGAAAAGTTTTGTATAAGTCGGTGTTTTCTCTGCGAATATTCTCTGATTTCTTTCTTTCCACATATTCCACATATTCTCTGATTTCTTTTGCAATCTTGAAAGGGTGGTATGTTAAGGCCATGTCCAATAGATCCTTTACCTCCCTAGGAAATGTGATATGTCATCCGAATATATTGAGAATCTTTGTTTAGAAATTATGAGCGTATGTTGATTGATTTGGAGAAAGAGTGATATAAGAAATTATTTTTTGAAAATTTTCGCTTGTGCTAATGACTTTATGCGCTATTTCCAAAAGAGCTAATGCTGGCTATTATTTCTTCACGTGGTTGTGGACTTCTCTAACTAACCTCTGCCTTTTGTTTTACCTTCGTTGTCATGAAATATTCTTGCACCTGATAAGTAATTTCTTGTCCAGGCCATGAAGATGGGGCAATGGGTCAGAGACATGTCATACGCAACATTAGTGAGTCAACCCTCTCTCTCAGCCTCCTTCAATGAGTATTAAGGACCCCTTTGAAATAGATTTCATTTTAATTTTTCAGTTTTTGAAAGTTAGGGTTGTTTCTTCCCAATTTCCTTGTTTTCACCCCCTTTTTTGTAAACACTAGTTGTGAGATCCTACATTGGTTGGAGAGGGGAGAGGAGAATGAAACATTCCTTATTAGAGTGTGGAAACCTCTCCTTAGTAGACCCGTTTTAAAATCGTTACGACGATACGTAACAGGCTAAAGGAGACAATATATTGAGTTGGCTAACACTGTGGATCAGCCATGGCTTCACACATTTTTCCTAGAATTTCTTGTGGATAAACCACTTCAAAACTTGAATGATTCATCCCTTGAGAACCATATTTCGTCACTGGTTGTGTTTCCTTTCTTCTCCTTGAAGAGAAACAATTGAATAATATTTGCAAACACTCTAGCAGTCGTTCTTGAAAAAATCTATATTGGAGTGATGATGATAATATGACTAAATTTTGTTGCTCCTTTTCAGGTTGCTGGATGTCAAACAAACAGCAGGAATCAAATACGAGCATTTGCTGTGTTGAGGTGTTTATTTCCTAACTTTAAACCATTTTTTTAGCAGCAGATTACGAAATGGTGTGGTGTAGTGTGTTCGTTTGGTCTTTTATAGAAATGAAATTGGATGAACTGAAACCCAATACAGGGCATTCAACCTTTGGCTTGTTTGAAGCCTCTCCGTATGTGTGTATATATATATATATATATATATATATATATAATTCCCCATAACATTGGAGAAAAATTATCCTTGTATAGTCAAACTTAACTTTCTTTCAGATGATCATTTTTTAATCCCAGGATCAATTTTCCAGAGCTTTAATTCATGGCTTTGAATCCATCTTTCATAAATTACTGTTTCTTTCTCATTTGTTCATTCCTTTTTTTCTTCTTTTACTAATGCTCATATGTAAGTGTATACATATGCGCACACATATACACACATATCTATACATACATGCACGTGTATATATACACACACACCTTTATCCCTATAGGTATGTGTGTATATATATCTATATATGTATGTATGTATTTATATATATGTGTGATTCACGAAACGGAAAAAAAAAAGAAAACTTTGATTCTTAATATCTGAACTCAACTTTTGTTCTTATTAAGAATGAGAAATAGAAGTGGAATTGAAAGTCATATTTTTTTTAATATTAACTTTTAAATAGAATACAATCTACTGATTAAATTCAAAAAATAAGATAAAATATATCAAATATATTATTAACCAAATTGGGAAAAAAAAAAATCACTTTTTTTTCTTGGAGGAAAAAGACATTAAACATTATTTTTAAAAGTTTGGTTTTCATATATATTATAATTTCAAATTTTTAAAAGGGTTTTAAAAGTATTCATAAATTTTTTGAAAATTTGAAGTTATTTTATAATTTTTTTTTTTTTTTTTTAAAGTTTTAAGGTATTATAGATTTTTTTTATTTTAAGTTTTAAAGAGTATTTTAAAAAAAATGAATTTTGGCATTTTGTTATTAATTCAATGTGCACAGTAATACACGTTATTCGATTCGTACCTCTCTCTCCTCTTCTGTTCTCACGAAAAGTATATTTGGGTTCTATTGCAGCCTGGAATTGGAAGTTACCGCCATTCTTCTTTTACTCTTCAGGACCATCAATCAAAACGTTCTTAAGCTTCTCAACTTCCTCATCACTCCTGGAATTCCAAGCATTCTCTGCCCCGTCGCCGGATTTTTCCTCATACCTCCATTCTAGGTTTACAGGCGGAGCCTCGTTCTTATCATGTGTGTTTCTCCATGGCTAACTTGAGAACCGACTCTCCAGTCGCTTGTCGCATCGTTCGTGCCTTTCTCGACTTCCTTAACTCCGGTTTGTACATTTCTCCTTTTCTTTGATCGCTTTTGTTCTTGTGTTGAGCTGTTTTCAGCGTTCTTCACTAGGCTTTCGTTTCTTCTTATGGCTAGCGCGATTGGACAGTAGGTTTTTTTTTTTTTTTTTTTTTTTTTTTTTTTTTTTTTTTTTTTTTTTTTTTTTTTNGAGCACTGGCTTGATTTTTTTTTTTTTTTTTTTTTTTTTTTTTTTTTTTTTTGGAAAAAAATCTTAATATATTTCTTCGCTCTTGTATTCTTGAAAATGCTTCTTGTGAGATGTCATGTTGAATTTGTGTAAATTAAGCGATTTTGGTGGAGTGGAGCGTTGTGTTGTATTATTTAGTGTTCAATTACTCTTTGATGGTTGTTTTAGGGTTTTCACTAAGCAATTCGTTATGTGATGTATTTTTCTTCTTGTCTGCAGTGGAACCGGGTCCAGGTGTTGATGTCGAAGGCCTCGAGGTCGCAAAACAATGTTTAGAACAAGTGTTTAAAGTTGAGTCTCCTGCTGCCGACGAGTTGACGAAATTCGATTCACTGGTAGACATTTTTAGTTCACCAGAATCTTCTCAGCGTTCTGGAACCAGTTCATTTGTTGATAATGGAGCTGTTCCAATGGATCATCACAGTCCTCTCGATGTGAATGATTCTGATGCCATTTTGTTAAAGTCGAATCCTCAGGTCAGCTTTCGTTTCAATCTTCTGTTCTCTATGAGAATTTCAACAATATTAAGTCATCAATTCTCTGTGATAATTTCCATTTGTTCATCTTAATATACGCATTAGGTTCCAACCATATGTGTTTATAGAATTAACATGCTAAGTTTATCATCACTAGGATAACACTGAAATATGTAATCATTTGTATACAATATGTAAGCATGGAAAAAGGTGTGTCCAGAATGAGATTCTACCATGTGCTATGTGTTTTTATTCCAATATTTTGAACCGAAAGTAGAAGTGAAACTTACATCCCCCTGAATTTCAAATCAATGTTCAATCAAGATATAGGCAGTTTGTAGTTAACTGCCCCGAGTGTAAGGTATTAATTTAATCCCCTATAATAATTTTCTCTTTTTTTTTCCCTTTCTTTTTCATGGAATAGTTTGTCTATTTATTCTACTTCTTAAAAAAATGGTATTGCTAAGTATTGTTACTCCGACTTGGAAAATATCCAAATTATATAATTTTGTGAACACTCGTAAATGTTTCTATTATTAGCCTTCATTTGAAAATATTTTGAATTCAATCAATTGATATTGATCTGATCAAATCATTGCATAGTTTTTATTTTTGTTGATTTTTGACTTCCCTTCTGTCAATTAATCCAGGGGAATGATTGGTCGAGAGAGTCTCATCCCGTTGGTGGGTTTTTTTCTCTTCTCTTTTTTTCTTCCTTGCATACCTTTGTCTTTGTATTTTTTCTTTTTGGAATGTAAGTTTAGCTGTCACCCTAGAAAACAGAAACTACACATCAGCATCCCACCTTTATTATCTCTTGTTCTTCAAGATTCCCTCTTAGGTTTTCAAGGCTATGGAGAAGTTGTGAACACTTGTTGGAAAGGTGTTTAAGAAGTAGAAGGTTCATGCTTGGCTAGTTTGGAAATTTTGAGCACTGTCCTCTCAGTCTAGATATGCAGGCGAACTTTGTTTTTTGCATATGGAAAAAGAAGATTTTGACCCTGATCTATAATTGGCTTTGGTTACACATGGAAAATAGTTCTCTTTTTCATGCTAAAAAAATAATTACTAAATATTTAGATCAATATGAAAATCAAATCACAGTGAAATATAGCTATCATACCTGCTCGAAACTTCATGTGGAAATTTCGATTCACCTCTCTATTTCCTAACTGTAAAGCAGGGAACAATAATGATATTGTGTTCTGGGAGGACATTTAGAAAGGGTGGTGGAAAAATTGCACTTATTAGATGTACAGTTCTTCACTTGTTTGGTCACCATCCATAAGATGAACTGCAATAGCCACTGGACCAGGTTCAGACTGAATTCACAACATCAAGTTTGCATGAAAAGCGGAAGAATTAGACCAGTCATCTTTTTTAATTGCAAAAGCCTCTTTTTTTTTTTTTTTTTTTTTGAACCATAAACAAAATCTTTTTCAAAGATGATTTGTAATTTGGAGTTGTTACATTTATCCATTCTTTTATTGCCTCCTTGTTTAAGTTTGCCTTCAGAAAGTCAGATATTTCTTTGAAATTTGGAGAAGCTGAGGCTACATTTGATAATGATTTCATTTTTAATTCTGTCTTTAGAAGTTATGCTTATTTGCTCTTCAACTTCTTTGGTATGTTTTCACTATTCTTACTAATAAATTTGATTTTTTTAGTCAAATTTCAAAAATGAAAACAAGNTTTCAGAAGCTACTCCTTTTTTTTTTTTTTTTTTTTTGGTTAGTTTTATAACTTTTGACTTAGATTTTTTAAAATGTTTTTGAAAAATAGATAACAAAGCAAATAAACATGTGGGAGTTTATGTTCTAAGTTTTCAAGATGAGTAAATAGAAGACAAAATTGTTATCAAACCTGGTTAGCAATTTGTTGTAGAAAGGAAGGTCTTTGCCTCCTTGTATCATATTGGTTGTTCTTTTTGTAGTTGGGCCCATGAACCCTTCTTGGTTAACCATATTTTTTCTCTCACATAGCTTTACTCTTAGATCATGGATCAAGTCTTATATCAATTTAGTATTTATTGCAACTTTCAAAGAAAGCATCATTCTTTGTTTCATGGAGACGTTCTTGGAGGAGCTGCTAGTAGGAAGAAGGGTTATTTTAAAATGTTCACTTTAAGCAATTTCTTGGATTAGTTGGGTTGAAAGAATCAAGTCTCACGGAAGACAAGGAGAGTATGGAAGACTTGGGGAAAAAGTTATAAATAACCTCGTATTCTTGATGAAGAGTATGGAAGACTTGGGGAAAAAGTTATAAATAACCTCGTATTCTTGATGAACAGCCTTTTTTTCCTTCCATCTTTTCTTTTCCTTCTTGAAAGAGGGGATTGCATTTTCTTTTCTAATTGGAAAATTGAAAAGGGATTTTTTTTACCCTCTTCTTTTGTATATTCCTCTCTTTTGTTAATATATTATATGTTTTTCTGTAAAAGAATTTTATAAGATTATATACCTTGAATCAATTAAATTGGTGGTTTGGAATTTTTTTTTTTTTTTTTTCTTTTTTCATATTGATCATCATTTTTGCAGGAGTATTGCAAGATGAACTTTTTGGGCAATTTGTTCTTGCACTTGAAAAACTTCACTACTTTAGGACTACAGCAGATGGGAGGGATGATCCTGACCAACTCGAGCGAGCAACACGTTTGTTTCATGATGCGCTTGGAGTATGATTTTTCTTGTAGTTTTGTTGTTTTAAATGAATTTTATTTCTTTGTGTACACCATTTTCTTTCCCTTTCACGCATACCAGTGTCTGTTGCTTGATATTCTTAATGCAGGCAATATCATCTCTGTTACTGACTCATTGTCTCTCATACATGCTTTTACTTTTGAAGTGTATCGCTCTCTCTCTCTCTCTACCCCTGCCTGCTTCCTTGCATAATCCTCAACCAAATTTCTTATTGTATCAGGAGATGAAAAGATCTGGATGCACTGAAATTAATCACAAAAATCTGGCTGAGTCCTTGAAATCCCTTGGTACCAAGACTACTACAAATCTTTACTCTAGGAATAATCTTTTTTTCCTCATTTTCTCTTATGATGTCCTGCTTTTCTGCACACTCATTTAATGTGGTAAAGGTAAAAATAGGTTCCCCTCACACAAATGTACTGCTTAAATCCTTTTCTCCTTATTCTTTCAGGCCTACGTTTATCCTTTAGTTGATAAAATAAGACATTGTTTATGCAGTACAATTGGAAAATTTTCGTTTCTTTTTTCTCCCATTATTCGATAATTTCCACAGGACAAATTCAATTATCTATCAGCCCCACTTGCTGAGGTGTTCTAATATGTAATAAAATGTTTTGTTTTAGGTAACGGCGCTATGCAGTCAAAACTATACACTGACGCAATTGAGTTATATAGCTGTGCAATCGCACTATGTGAAAATAATGCCATTTACTACTGTAACAGGTAGAATGCTGTTAATTATAAAGATCATGCATGTGAATTGCGATTGAGTAGCTTGTCATGGAAAGTTAAGGAATATCTTTTTATTTTGTGTGCCGGAGATAAGAAACAGATTAATACATTCATTCATCTTTCTGAGTTAATGGAACTTAACATTTATCAAATTTTCCTAGAAGACTTGTGGATGATTTAGATTCCTGGACTTAATTAGGCTTTCTTTTTCCTCATGAAGCAGAATGTTAGACCCCCAATGATGATACAATATATCAGGAGGGGTAAGAAAAGGATTGTCATCGACCAGTTTGTTAGACGGGTGAGGGGACCACGAGGGAATGTGGCAGTCTTTCTTTACATTACTGCAATATTTTTACGAATTTCTTATTATCCTTCAATTTTTTTGACATTAAATACTGTAGGATCACACATGCAGATACTGATTACATCTTTGTGCCTGGTTATTCTGGTTAACTTGGCTTTTCTTCCAATTTTAGTTTCAATTAATTTAAATGTATAGAAGTCAAATTAATCGCTGTTATTTTCCTCACCCCTGCTTTTTATTAATGATTTTTCTTTTCAATATGTCATTAATTGTATTTTTTTTCAATGTCAAAAAAAAAAAAAAAAAACTCCTTAGGGCGGCTGCTTACACCCAAATCCAGAAATACTGTGAAGCAACAAGAGACTGTTTGAAATCCATTGAGATTGATCCAAATTATAGCAAGGCATATAGTCGTCTGGGCTTGGCTCTATATGACCAGGGAAACTATCGGGATGCCATTGATAAGGGATTCATGAGAGGTTGGTGTGACTATAAACATTAGAACCCATGCAAGTTATATTTAGTGAAAGGAGAATCGAGATTTGTTTTCTCTCTCTCTAGGCACAAAACTTGTATTAAATTATGCAAGTACTTGTTTCACAGACTATGTTTCGTTACTCATATCTGCGTGCATTTAAAATGTTAGCTTTAACGTGCAGCCTTGCAGTTGGATCCAAACAATGACGCTGTCAAGGAAAATATTCGAGTTAATACACTGACTTTCACCATTACTGCAACTGGTTCTTATATTACTTCAAACTCTACTAGTGTATGACAACGTTTTATTTGAATCATCATAGGTAGCTGAACAGAAATTAAAGGAAGCACAGCGTCAAACTCAACATGAGCAGGTACAATGTGCTTTATTTTCTCATGAAATGAAGGGTCCTTATACACTAAAATAATATCATTATGAAGACAGAGCTTTTTGTTTGACCAGCATTTTTCGATTCAAATAGTCGGTAAGGTGTAAATTACATTTACCGTTTTGATAGATTCGTGTAGGACCTAATTCATTTAGCCCTCTATATTTTCTTGTTTAGCTTCTTATTGGAGGCCCTCAGATCATTGCTAGAGTATTTTGGTCTACATTTATTATCCTTCTCTCTTAAGTTGTGAGACAATAATGGAGTTATAGAAGTTAAAGAGTGCAGGAACCCAGAGACAATTTGCTACGTCTCACTTAATATTCAACCTTACGTTACGTTGTTGCTCGTACTTGTCAGGGTTTGCAGGAGTACTTTTTTCGTTTTCCATAGTGTTTTTAGTATGTAATATCTTTCTATGACCGTCTAGAGCTGTTGGGAAACTGACTTCATTGATGTGATGTCAATGAAATGGCTTCGCCTACCAACCATGCCATTGTTCAGCTCGTTAATTTTTGCTATGGTTTTTCGTGCTCATCCTTTTGCTATAAACTCGTTGCACTCCGCTACCTAGTTGCAATGCTGACCTGCACGGTTTATCTACGATTCTATGCAGGGTTCAACAAGTCGAAGTCGAGAATTCCAAAACCAGTCTGGTGGTGGAGGGTCAAGGAATGACAGCCCCCCATCTCCTCCTCCTTTTCCTTCTATGCCATTTAATGTCACTCTACCTTCTGAAATTTCAAACATGTTCATGAACATGGCTGCCAATGCTACAAACCCATTGCACGGGCAACATCCCGAAGACAGAAGAGAAGCGAATAGAAGCGGAAATGGTTCAGGCGATCCCGGAACGAATATGGATGGAAATTTCAGTTTCAGCATTGGAGATGGAATGCCACAGGATATCAATGGTGCTTTGAGATCTATGATGCAGATGTTCACCGGAGCAGCAGCCCCTGGTGGAAACCCTCAGGAGAACGTCAATGGAAGGCCCCCACAAGGCTGAAAACAATTGGTTGGTATTTTATTGCACAGAATCCCTTCTATTTTACTGCTTTTTTATTGCCTTCCTTTCTGTTTGCTCGTATTTAGTTGTGATTTCCATGCCTTTTACATCCTTCCTTTGGGCGGTGGGTATGAATCTTTGGGACAAAAATCTTCAAATAAGTGTTCTATATTAGCCACTTAACTAACTTGTTTTTTTATTTTATTATTTTTATTTTTTTTAAATTGAACTGTTCTATGAATTTTGCATCTTATTATAGAAGCTTATTCGACTTCTTTTGTCCAAGTCAGTTCTCGAACTCGGTCTCTATCTATGCAAAACGATTATATAATATTTTCATTTTTTATTCCCCTCTTTTCTGTTTGCTAGTTAGTTGATTCCCATGCCTTTTATATCCTTTGAGCAGTGGGTCCCTTTTTTCTGTAAAAGTCAACTCATGAGATTTGGATTTTTTAACTTAATATTTTAACTCTTGCTTGATTTTAGTATTATTTTTTTAATTGCTAAAAGGAAATTGTATTTTTCTTTTAAAATAATTGATTTTTCTTTATTTCAAATACTTTTGAACTTCAAGTAACAACGTCAAACTTTGATTAAAAATAATAAAAAATACCCTTAAATTTATTTAAAAAAACATTCTTACTTACTGTTTTGGGAGGAATCCCATAATATTTTGTTTTAAAACTATTTATTAACTTTCAAAAGGGTATTAAGTAATATAAAGAATATTACTTTATATTTCTTTTAAAGGGGAGTGGTTACAAAACTCACGTCATGTAAAATTAAATAAATATTAATCAAAATTCTCAAGAAAGGAAAAAAAAAATACAAAATAAAGAAAATGTTAAATTTTGTACAAAATTATTTATTTAGTTTTAAAATATTAAAAAATCCACATGTATCAAATACCAAATATAAAATTGAAAAGTATGGTTTGATTATATTAAAAAAAATTAATTGAAAAAGATTTATTATCTACAAATTTAAAAATCATTTATTAAAAAAAAAAGACACATATTTGGAATGGGTCAGATAACTAAAATGAACGGCCAGGATTTAAATTAGAAATGTGGAATTTATCACCTACTTCTCACAGTCCGTGTTCCCATTTTCTGATAGCCGAGAGTTGGGGAGTTCCAAATCCGAACGTGGATCCGTACGGTACAGCCCATAGCCAATAGCCATAGCGTGCTGCTGTCGCCTTCATTCATTGCTACGCTTTGAAAGTCATGGCCTAAACTCAAGCTGATTCGCTTTCAATCTCTCCCTCCCGCATTGACGCCTTCGCCTGATTCCGTTTTTTGCATTTAAGTTTGGTCGCTTTCTTCTTCCATACTCGGATTTTACTATTACGAGCTGCTTTTGCCGCGAATCTGTTTCTGGATCTTGATCTTTGTTAATGTCTAATCTGTGAATTCGCCTCCTGCTGTTCTGTTGTTCGTTGCGTCTGCGGTGAGCGAAGAAGCTCAAGGTACGAATGCTTGATTCGTCTGCTTTAGAAAATTCGGTTTTGCTTTGTGATTGCTTGTGTGACGGTATCTCGAATTGTTTTTTTTTTTCTCTCTCTCTCTCTCTCTTTTCTTTTTGGCTTTTACTTTATTGGTTGGTTTAGTTTGCCTCGCATGTATGGTAATGTGGATTTGAAAGGAATTTCTGTTTTTTGCTATTTTTTCTTCGTTTGTGATACTTTCATGAGACGTTCCTGTTGGTGCTTGGATGGAATTTGGGAAGGTGTATGCGGCGTAGTTTTCATCGAAAGGCCGTATAGTTTTTTGAAAGGAGAACTGTCAGACTTCTAAGTACGATAAATTTTATATTCGGTTTAGTCGTTTTGTTTATTTTCGTTGTTATTTATCAACAGCTATTGATCGAGTCTTCATGTTGATTCATTTTGTTGTTTGTGATCAACTAATACTCTGTAAATGATCTTGCTGAATTTAGTTTTTTTCTTTTCATCTCTTAGTTGCACTGGGTGCTTGAAATCTTCAAGAAATGAGTGCATACATCGTTGGTGCTCTCTTACCTATTGTAGTTACACTTGTCTTACGGCATTCCAAAAAAGCAAAGAAAAGAGGATTGCCTGTTGATGCTGGTGGAGATCCTGGGTTTGCTGTTCGGAATAGCAAGTACACTGCGCCTGTGGAAACAGCATGGGAAGGCGTCCTTACTCTTGCTGAACTGTTTGAGTACTCATGCAAGCAGCACCAAGACAGACGCTTACTTGGAACCCGCAAATTGATCTCAATAGAAACTGAGGTAACTGCAGATGGAAGATCCTTTGATAAGGTTCATTTGGGCGACTATGAGTGGCTAACATATGGCCAAGCATTTGAAGCCGTGTGTAGCTTTGCTTCTGGACTAGTGCAAATTGGGCATAATAAGGGAGAACGTGCAGCAATCTTTGCTGACACTAGAGAAGAATGGTTTATTGCTTTGCAGGTTTTTCTCTTTCTTGTTTTGTTGTGTAAATTGAATCTATATTTGGAATAAGTTTTGAGACTTATTTTTCTTTTGTCAAGAAATGTTGTCTATGCATTTTTTGATATTTTATTCTACATTAATTTATTTGAGCTCTAACTTTTTGCCAATTTATAGAAATTGTATCGCCAAATGTTCTTTGTAATTCTATGATATGACCCGTTTGTTTTCTTGTTCCAGGGATGCTTTAGACGTAATATCACTGTTGTAACTATCTATGCATCTTTAGGGGAAGAGGCATTATGTCACTCGTTGAACGAGGTACGCTCTCTCTCTCTATCTCATATGTATGCGCATATGCTACGCACAAAATTAAATGAAGCTACATTTTTTAATTCTCCAAATTCATCGCACCACCATTATTCCTACTTCAAATTGTCAGAAACCAGGATCAGGAAACGAGCCAAATGTTTATATAAATATGTTTTTGTTCTCAAATTCTCTCCCCTATCTTCTTCACGCTCATTTTGTTTTGTTGGTTATCTCTTACCAAGCATTGAGCTCTTTTGATTATTTATACATGATTATGATCTTTTTTTTCATCTCCAGACAGAAGTCACGACTGTGATATGTGGCCAGAAAGAGCTGAATAAACTGTTAGGTATCAGTGGACGGCTTAAGACAGTGAAGAATGTGATATGTATGGATGAGATTCCTCAAAGCATTATAAACTCTGAGATGATCGGGAACTGGAAAATTGCCTCATTTTCTAAAGTTCAATTGCTTGGCCAAGAATGTAATGTTGGTGCCGAGTTACCCATTTCAACTGACATTGCTGTTATAATGTATACAAGCGGAAGCACTGGATTACCCAAGGTGGGAAACGTCTATGTTTGTATGTAGGTACTTATATGCACGCGCACATACACATATATGTACATTTGCACAAACATACGTACATATATACATGCAAACTTACCTATACATTACTCAAGTTTCATTTCTGATATTTCCAAATCTCCGATTATTGTGTTATATACATTATATTTCCTACGCTTCTGCTATGAATATTCTCTCTGCACATAGGAAACTTGAGAGCTTAATATATCTTGGAATTTTATCTTTGTTAAGATAAACTATGATTCTCCTTAACTTAATAATAACGTGAGATTCTGTGTTGTTTTTCCACTGTATCTCAGTGTTGTTTGCATCTACTTGTTTGGTAGTTGACTGTTTTGTTTGAAATTTCCGTGATGACCTGGAACCCTTTCTGATAGTTAATTAATAATGGCTGTGAGAACAGGGTGTGATGATGACACATGCAAATGTCCTGGCCACAGTTTCTGCTGTCATGACTATAGTTCCTGGTCTAGGGAAGAAGGATACCTATCTCGCATACTTGCCTATGGCTCATATCCTTGAGTTAGCAGCAGAGGTCTTTGTTCTTTTAATTTCATAATTTTGTTTATGCTGTTCAGTAAAATTCAACCATACATTTCTCATTCTTATGTGTGATATTTGTTTCTATAGAGTGTAATGGCTGCTGTTGGATGTGCTATTGGATATGGGTCTCCTTTGACACTTACTGATACGTCTAACAAGATTAAACGAGGGACAAAGGGCGATGCAACTGCTCTTGTGCCAACAGTAATGACTGCTGTCCCAGCAATTTTAGATCGTGTTCGAGAAGGGGTTCTTAAAAAGGTCTGTCAATTTTGCATGCGCGTTTTTGTTCATGTTGCATTTATTTGAACACTCATTATGTGCTATCCATTTATCTGGGTGTGCTATATTAATATAATCTTCTGATTTCAGGTGAATGTGACAGGTGGATTAGCAAAGAAATTGTTTGATTTGGCATATTCTCGTAGGTTATCTGCCATGAATGGTAGTTGGTTTGGGGCTTGGGGTCTGGAAAAGCTTTTTTGGAACTTTCTTGTGTTTAGAAAGGTACGAGCAATTCTGGGAGGCCGGCTTCGTTTTCTGTTGTCTGGAGGGGCCCCCCTTTCTGGCAATACCCAAAGATTCATCAACATCTGTCTCAGGTATGCATGCCATGAAAATCTTATGAATGCCATAGACTGATGCACCTATCATACAGACAATTATCCAAGAAACAAATGAACCTTTACTGCTGGATTTTTAAATTTCAGATGCCTATGGACTATTTGATATCCAGATACTAATTACACGAGATGCCAAATAATGTGCTTGCCTAGATTCATATAGGGTTATAAACTGTTTCGTGAGGTTTGAACCTCAGTGTTTTTTTTTTTTTTTTTTTAATGGCATCATATATTTTGTTGATCCAATTATATCTGCTGCAAAAACTATCCAGGATTATTGTTAATAAATAAATGCTAATGAATGCTGCACGTGACGGATACAACTTGGTAGTTGACAGAGATGCTAAAGTCCTGCAACCAATAATAGGCATTAAAACTTGGTTCACGGTCCATTATTGTACTATATATGCATGTGCATGCATTAGCATTGCAGTTACCATCTTGCTTATGTATCTCGTGGCATCCTATTCTCAGTGCTCCAATAGGGCAGGGTTATGGTCTTACTGAGACTTGTGCTGGTGGGACATTCTCTGAGTTTGATGACTTAACCGTTGGTCGAGTAGGAGCTCCACTTCCTTGCTCATTTGTTAAGGTATCTATGCACCCTTGTGATTCATTGATCCTTTATTGATACGTACAACTATCTGTGTACAAGTACAGGTATTTGTATGTGTTACAGGGTAGTTTACAAGTATGCTGGGCATTTATAGTACTAAAAAGTGCTTAAACAAAATATCCAACCTTGACAATTCTACTAAATGTTGTTCTTCTCTGATCATA